CTCGGTTTTATAATAAATGCATCGTTATGCTTTAACAAAAGAAAGAAAAGATAAATGTTTTCGAAAGGTTTTCACATAGCCAAACTATATAGGGAAAATTGTAAAAATGCAATATTTTATGTGCACATTTGTAAAAATGTCATTTAGAGGTGTTCATTTGCAAAAATGCCACTAATTATAGATTTTTAAACCCTATATCTTAAAATTCTAAATACTAAAAAATGTTTTGACCCCTAAACCCCCCTAATAGAACATAATTAACCCAAACATAAATAATATAAAAAAAAAAAAATTTTGAAAAAATGGCATTTCTGTAAAAATTTCAAAAGTGTGGCATTTTTGTAAATTGACACTTGAAAAGTGGCATTTTTTGAAAATTTTCAACAATATATGCATCCCAAGTTGTCACCGTGACGAGAACTAGCTCCATCGCCTCGCCATGTGTGTGATTTCCTGTAATCCGGATCGAACTGATGCAGTTTACAACATTCTTGTCTATCATCTTGGTTAGAGATGTCGCCATTTTAGCTAGTTCCCCATGGCGTCTTCGGTTTTTTTCTCATCATATATGGTAAACACTCATTTGGAATGCATACAAGATCAAATAATGCTTGAATTTAGGTTGATTTGATGTGAGAAGAGATACAATATGTATACATGCTAAAATGTATTTTAAGTCAAGTAATTTGTGCATAGTCGGATCTAGAAATAAATTTTACTGGGGTCATAATAAACGAATTTGAAACTACAATAATAATATATGGAAAATATACGAATTAATGGGGGCATTTAGAAGTTTAAACACAAATTTACTGGGATCATACACTATTTTTTTACCAAATTAAATCAAAATTACACTAACAAAATTTAATATGTTAATTTTGTAGGGGTCATGTCCCCTTGATCCTTCTCTACCTCCGCCACTACAGTCTTCTTCATCTGATGCCATTTTTCAAATTAGCAGTAGATAGAGAAAGACGTGTTATTGAAGATTAATCAATAATATGTCTTTGTTTTTCATAAATATATAGTCATAAAATAATATAAAGTCTTAATTCAGAACTATATTAATTTATGAATTTATATATATAATGTGAAGAATGGGAAGAAAAAAAGTAATATAATGTTCTTCAAAAATTATACTCATAAAATAATAGTTAATGTACCCTTCTCGATTTCGGAAAAAAGATGTTTTCAGTCTGCACGATTTATAATTTAAAAAGGATTAATTTTTCTCGAATTAAAAGTTGGGGACTTTGGTTTGCAAAATTGTTTTAAGTTGAGGGATCCGTTTTAAAAATCATATTCCTTATTTCAACCAGAAATCATATATATGAAAGCACAACTAACCGCTTTTTTTTTGGCTCAAAGACATATTTTGATAGAGCTCTCAGGCACTACTTTCGAGGTTGGACATTAACCGCCGGTTTCTACCTTGGCCTCACCTCTGATCAAATCTTACCAAACTTTCTTTGCCCAAAATAGCAAGTTTTCAAATTTCAAATCTTTTTTCTGACTTAGCCTCACCGTGGTTCCACCCCCGGCTTCATGTCGGAGGGTCCGTTCTTAAGCATGGTAAGCTTCTCTCAACTCACAGTTTAGGCCTCCATCACTAAAGAAGACGAACTGCCGGTGAAACCCAAACCGGAAGCCTCCTTACGGTGCAAAAAGTCCCCTCTGCAAGATGTCTCAACTATCAACCTCCAAACTGTCTCACAGAGCCTCCTACCATGACAAAGGAAAAGCTATTGCCACATCAAGCTTGGACCCGAGAGTGACTAGAGTGAAAGTCCAAGACTCAGACAACTCAGATCTGCTGTTGAAGCACTCCCTCACACTGGTGGGAAGAGTAACACACCAAAAGTACCAAAAAGTGTGGTCTATCATCCCATTCTTCACGGACCGCTGGAAAACCTCTATCCGCCCTATTGGTGCTGACCTAGGCAACGGACACTTCCAATTCCAGTTTGYAAATGAAGAGGACCTGCAACTGGTGCTTGCAAATCGACCCTACCACTTTGCAAARTGGATGCTCATTCTTCAACGATGGGAGCCTACTATATCTCAAGATTTTCCATCCCAAATCCCGTTCTGGGTGAAAGTTCAAGGTCTACCAGTACATCTCTGGACCCAAGACACAATTCGAAGCATTGGAGAAAGCCTTGGATACTGTGAAAAAGTGGAAATAACCAGTACTACAGCAAGGATAARGGTCCATGTGAATGGACTCAAACCGCTTATCACCACCTCTATTGTGGAATATCCAAATGGAGATGAAGTCATAGCCTCCCTAAGCTATGAGAAGCTTGAAAGACATTGCTCCATCTGTATGAGGCTTGACCATGAGGACAAAGATTGCCATACCAACCCACCAAGAACATCTCTGGCCCCCTCAAAACCTGCGCTWGGTGGCAACAAATATGGCCAGCCAGAAGCTAGTACAGGAATCAACAAGGAGAGAGAGTACCGTGCATATACACTCTCAAAAMCCACAAAGGACCCCCATTACTACAGACGTAGACAAGAAGAGGCCCCCATGAACAGAGACTGTCCTTTTTCTGAAGAGAGACACATGTCAGAGCGGCACCARTCMTCGTTCTCAGGCAGGAGAAGCGACCTCATAAGAAACCCAGATGCGGGTAGACACTATGACCATCACAGAGAGATGCATAGGCGAGATGACTACCAGAGGATAAGGCCAGGGAGATCAGAAAGGGCCCGAATTAGAAAAGAGTATGAAGTGATGAATAYTAGAGAAGGGAAGGAAGATTCATCCAGGATTAGCAGGTCAAAGACGGATACCAATGTAAACCMTGCTACCCCACCTCCATTCGCCTTCCAGGAGGYGGTAAACGAAGCAGTTGAAGAGGTGAGAGAGGTGATGGTCCAATATGCAAATTGCAAAGACCCAACAGAGAGTGCAGCCAGGCAAACAAGATATAAACAAGCAGAAGAAGAAGGTCAGCTGGTTGAGACAGYTGTCCGCATGGTTCAGGCTGCACTACAAACTCCAGTGCAAGAGCCATAGCCCCCCCAAGGAAGACGACCAGTAATAGAGAGGCTAGGCATCATAAATCCAGTAATTCCAGGAAGCCCCTTAAACTCTGGTGTGGTGAATAGAGATGTTAACCAAGCAAAAGCGAAACGTAAGCCGGGAAGACCAGTGGGATCAAAGAAGATCCATTTGAGCCCAAAAGCCTTTGTGGGAGCATCCTCCAGAAAGARGAAAGTCCAGCAGATCCAGAGTTCACCTCGTCGGAGGGTAAGCTCAGGGAACAKGGCAAGGGTAACTGAAGACCTTACCGCCACAGATGCAAATGGGCCGATTTCCACAATCCCAGCAGAGCAGGAACCTCCCCTCATTACGTTTATACCAAAGATTAG